ACCCAGCAGCACCGGGCACACATTGACTTAGGGCCCTTCCACTTTTAGGCTAAGTTACTTAAGCTAAGTTTGCTTCAGTTTCCACAGTTGCTCACTATGTATGTATGGTGTAGTATAATCCTGCAGAGAGACCAACCTGAATTTGGATCCTGGCTCTCCCACATGCTATCTAAGAGGTCTGGGACAAGGGACTCAACTTCTCTGAGTTTCAGTTCCCTTATCAGTGAAAGGGAGAAGGAAATAATAGAGGTACCTTATACATTTATTGTCAGAATTAAATGAGATCCTGCATTTGGGTGCTGATACCTGGTCAAGTGCTCCATAAATGACCACTATTATCTCCTAGAGCTCATCTAAGAAAATAATGCAACATGGTAGGGAAAAATAGTCTGAAATTTTGATATACCTTATCTACAACATTACTGTAATCTCAAAATTACCTTTTCAGAGAGACCACTAAACTCTTACCATATTTTACTTCTTTCACACGGGCCGGGTCTGTTTAAGGCTGTTCCTGTATTTTCTACCAAACTTTGCCACTTTGTGTTTTCCTCTCCTTTTCTAGCAGCAGGGCTCTCGCCCACATGTGGGGGGCTACTAGCTAGATGTGGGCATTTCCTACTTCTGATCTCCCTTCAATCAGCTCCAGGATGCTACTTGTTGAAGTCAGGAGCCCTGCTGTTGAGTACTATCAAGGAGTATCATATCCTCAACAGTACTTACATGTGCCAAAAGGTTTCAGTCTCTGATCCTGCCATTTCCTAAAGAGATACTCTATGTCTACCTGCTCTGTCCAGCTAAATCAGTAGGGTTATCTGTGTCTCATTTTGTCACCATTCTTTGGTCAAATGGGTGTCTACAAACTTTAGTTCTTTCTTCTTCCTGCCCTCTTTACCGTCTAAGTCAGTGAGGGAACACTACTGTTAAGCTATGCCACGGAGATCCAAAAGTGAGCAAGACACAGCCCTCAAGTTGTTCAAAGCCTAATAGGGGAAACGGATATAAAAACAATTGTATGACAGACTGGAGAGGTGGTCTAGGTACTGTGGTGCTTCATGGAGAAGGACACTGCAGGGAAGACAAAAAATGGTGACACTGTAGGAGATCAAAATGGTCAAACAATCTCGAAAAAGAATAAACTTGGAGGATTCATGCTTCCGGATTTTAAAGCTTGATACAAAGCTGCAATAAGTGGGGTGCACTGGTGGCTCAGTTGGCTATGCCTCCAACTTTGGCTCAGGCCATGATCTCATCGTTTGTGAGTTCGGGCTCTCCTTCGGGCTCTGCGCCGACAGCAAGAAGCCTCCTTTGGATTCTGTCTCCCTCTCTCTCAAAAATAAGTAAACATTAAAAACTCCCAAAAAACAAAACAAAGCTGCAATAATCAAAACAGAGTGGTAGTGCTGGCATAAAGACAGACATATAGATCAATGGAATATAGCCGAAAGTCCAGAAATAAACCTGTATATCTGTGGTCAACTGATTTTTGACAAGAGTGTCAAGACCATCCAGTGGGTAAAGAATAGCCTTAACAACAAATGGTCCTGGGACAGCTGTATATCTACATGCAAAGAAACAAAGCTGAATCCTTATCTCACATCATATACAAAAGTGAACTCAAAATGCACTGAAGGCCCAAATATAAGGGCTGAAACTACAAAAAGCTTAGAAGAAAAATACAGGTGTAAATCTTTGTAATTCTGGATTAGGCAATGGTGTCTTAGAACACCAAAAGCACAAGTAGCAAAAGAAAAACTATGAAAACTAGACTTCAACAAAATTAAAAACTTTAGTGTTTCAAAGTACGTAATCAAGAAAGTGAGGGGCCCCTGGGTGGCTCGGTTAGTTAAGCATCCAACTTCAGTTCAGGTCATGGTCTTGCAGTCTCATGAGTTTGAGCCCCGCGTTGGGCTCTGTGCGGACAGCTCAGAGCCTGGAGCCTGCTTTGGATTCTGTGTCTCCCTCTCTCTCTGCCCCTCTCCTGCTCATACTCTGTCTCTTTCTCTGTCTCTCTCTCAAAAATAAACAAAAAATAAATAAATAAAAGAAAGTGAAAAGATACCCATAGAAAGGGAGAAAATATTTACAAATCACATATTTGATAGGGAGTGTAGTTATCTTGACTATAAAAATAACTTTTACAACTCAACAATAAAAAGAACCCAATTTAAAAATGGACAAAGGATTTGAACTGACATTTCTTCAAAGGAGATACACAGATGGCCAATAAGCACATGAGAAGATGCTCAACACCTTAGTCATCAGGGAAACACAAACACAAACTGAAACCACAATGAGATAGAATGGCTACCCTGAAAAATAAAGCACTGGTGAAGATACGGACATTTTAGAGCCCCTGACTGTTGCTGGTGGGAAGGTGAAATTTGTTCCAAACATCACCATCCTTCAGGGTCTGTTTCAAAGGCCACTTCCTTAGGAAGGCTTTCTTCGCTTTCCCACCTGATGTGAACAGAGAGATGAACTCTCTCCTCTTTTAAAGAGGGCACATTTTGTACTTTTCTCATGTACTGATTTCCTCACACCTTATATTGCTGTTGCCTGGGCATTCCTCTCAACTCAGACATTCCTTACCCATGTGTTCTGGAATCTAAGCATTGATTCCCATTGATTGAGACAAGGTCCATGTCTTTCCTGGCCTTGCAACCCCCAGCAAGGAGACTGAGTATGAATTGAACTGTCCAAATAGCAGCAAAAATGGTGGAATCAGAGACAGAAATAAGCATGATCACACAACAGAAGTTTGAAAAAAATCCCAGAAGAAACTCCACAAAACAGGATGCTGGCACAAATAACAAAGAGTGTATGTTGAATCAATGTGTGACCACTCAGTTTGTTTATATCTGGTCATTTTCATCACATGGATCTCATTTCACTAGAACTGCAGAATTCAGACAAAGAGCTACGGCTTCCCAGCTGCTGTGCTCCCTCGTCTGTGGTTTTCCTAGGATATAAACAAACGATTCTGGAGGTATGGTCTCTGTTAATACTTGCTGTTGTGGGTCTGGGGGAGAAATGGGTGGTGGTCGGGGGCAGTGGGTGAGGGGATATTTAAGGGAAACCCACTAATGAACTGACAGTTCATATAAGCAACACCTGGAGTGTTAAACCCCCTACAAGTGTTATTTTACTGGGGGAAAAGACCCACTCTTCCTTGGTAAATGTAAAAATTCTTCTACCAGCTGCATTCTGATGTAAAGTGTGTGGCAGTTCAGCAGAGATGGCAGCTGGAACAGATCAGATGCAGGATACGGTGATGTTCACCAGCAGCTAGGGGATAATCAGAGCCCAAAAAGAATGACTCTTCAGAGCCATGTTCCTTTAAGAAAATGGGTGAGCCCCAATCTGCCTGCTCATGTTCCGCTCATAAACAGAGAGCACTGGAAATACACGCACCCACCTGATTGGCGGAGGCATCAGCTTTTTTAATAGAAACTCTGTGACATCAGCTGTGCATGACTCCCCACTCTGCTTCATACAACCCTGCAGACTAAGTTTTGGTTTTCATCCTATTTTTGTTAAATATTTACAATCTACTACAAACCCCAATTCAGACCAAATGTGTGCTTATACAACCTTGTGACACGGCCACCGCTCCTGACAAGAGCACCAACATCTATTGGTGCCGGGCCAGCGGCCCTCTTCATGTTCTGTCCCGACAGCACTGGGCAGCGAAGGGCCGCATTTCACACACTTGCGTTCACTTGGGCCCAGAGGGGTTAAGTCATTTGCTCAACGCCCCCAAAGGAAAAATGGGAAGAGTTAGGTCTGTCTGACTCTGAGGCCAGTGTTTTTTCCACTGTACTCTGCTACTGGCCAGGAGGCTCTAGAGAGGTTCTTTCTTCAGAGTTTAAGAATGCTACAAGAGGGGCGCCTGGGTGGCTCAGTCCGTTAAGTGTCCGACTTCGGCTCAGCTCATGATCTCATAGTTCGTGGGTTCGAGCCCCGCATCAGGCTCTGTGCTGACAGCTCAGAGCCTGGAGCCTGCTTCAGATTCTGTGTGTCCCTCTCTTTCTGACCCTCACTCTGCTCACACTGTCTCTCTTTCTCTCTCAGAAATAAATAAAACATTTTAAAAAATTTTTAAAAAAGAGAATGCTACAAGAGTCTGATAATTCGAGAACAGTTACTGGCAAACATTTTCTGTAAAGGGCCAGACGGTAAATATTTTTAAGCTTTTTGAGCTGTATGGTCTCATTACTTACTTACTAATTAATTACTTAATTCTGCCGCTGTAGCACAAAGCACCCACAGATAATATATATGTGAACAGGCATGGCTGTGTTCCAATAAGACTTTACAAAAACAGGCAATGGGTAAGATTTAGACTGCAGGGTGTAGTTTGCTGACCCCTGCTCTAGAAATTCTAGAGTGGACAGCTTTGTGTTATTTGGGTTAAGAAGCAACAAAGAACTGCCCATTTCCAAGGTAATTAACCAACAAACAAGAGATTCTTCTAGATCCTAAATTGTCCAAGCACTTCAGGAATTTATATTCTTTTAGGAAGAAAAGACACAGGCACGTGAAAGCCAAATAGTAATGCCAGGTAGCATGTGCTAAAGGAGGGGACTGGGGGCTCAGGACTGACTGATGGGCCACCATGACATTAGTAAAACCAAGGTCTCCAACCCGGTCAAATAATCCTATACTGATACCATAGCTGGGACAGAGTCAGAAGTTACTGCCGTAAGCACTAAGAAAAACACCCGTTCTGGGGAGATCACATGAAAGTTTTCAGCATGTGTCAGATGCTAAACAGAGACCTCTGCTTTGGACTTACCAAACGCACCTGCTCCCTGTCTCGTTCTCAGAGGACAAGCAACTGGCCTAGGGTACGAGATACACTGATCTGGAGGTCTTCTGGCCTCCTCCCCGCTGATACTCGAAGCTGTGAAGAACCTCAAGGAGCCATGGGCTAGGGCTTGCAGGGACCACCTGGGACCCTCCTGGAGGAATAGAAGAGGCACTTCCCCAAGCCTTACCTTGCTCATGGCAGTCAGGGCAGGGTCGCAGGCAGCATCCAGATCCTGAACCAACAACTGAATGCTGCTAGAGATGACACTGCAAGTGAAACAAATCACGGTGGTCACGACTTTAAAAGGCTAACTTCCTGAATGACCGACATGGCCCCCGCCAAATCTTCTAGGGACCTGTGTCAAAATTAGATTCATCATTCCTTCAGAAGAACTCGAGTTTGATTTCAAAAGGGAACGGATGACAAGGAGGAGCCTCTCGGCTCTTCACTGTTGCTGTGTGTCCTGGCCTCTGTTTGGCTGTGTGCCCACTGAGTCAGGTCACAAAACTCCATGGCGAGGGCCCCTGCTCCACATCACGTCTTACTCCAAAAGCACCTGTTTGCCCAAGATGTTTAAATCAGAACTTGAAAAAAAAAAGTTGAGAAAAGGAGAGGAGCTGACTTAAGAAAAGAGAGTCTTGACTTTTTCTTGGGAAGTGGCTGGTGTGCAAGCCGGGGCCTGGCCTACCCCAGTCGCACTTACCGACCACAACAAATGCACCGCAGGCAATACAGGCGGTGGAAGGGCTACCTTGAGAAGGCTCTCCAGCTGAACCTCTCGGATAGACACCCTCGACCCCACCCCCACCCCCAGCTAAAGTCAAGCCGCTTACACCCAGCGGGTGGGGACTTGGGGTAGGGGGCCAGACAGGAGGCCCTGGACTTGACCTTCCTGCAGGGACAGCCAAGGGAGGACTTCTCTTTTTGTTAGTGTTGGGAGTGCAACGGTGGAGACCCTTTGCGCTAAATATGACTGCTTCTGAGGAGCCCGCGCAGGAGGCACTGACTTCTAATGCTTCGTCTTAGTGGCTCCTGGGGAGTCATCCGGATTCAACAGGGGAGGCCCTGGGAACCTCTGAGGCTTGGTCGTGACCTACGGCCGATGGCCTGAGACACGCTGCTTTGTGAGGGGCAAAGGGCCGGCCTTAAGCAAATATATGCAAGGTACATACGTGCTGAATGTATCCATTTCTCCAGTCAGATTGATTCGTTCAGTCAGACTCACATCAACTTTTTCTCTGAGTTTTTCTTCTAGCTATTAACGGTAAGAGAGAAGAACACGCTTAACGATTATCCAAAGGAGTGCCGTAAGTAGCAGTACTTAGTGGGTCCCAAGTTTGAGGAGTCAGGTGCAACTCTAGACACTTGTCCTGTAAGGACTCATTTAATCCTCATAGCCCGAGGAGGAAGATCCTATTATTATCTCCATTTTACAGAAGAGAAAGTGGATGTGTGACCTCCCAAGACAGGGAGTGGTGGGGTCAGGAGTCAAGCTTCCTGGAGAACCCGTGCCCGTCACTGGGCTGCACTCAGTTCTTATGACACGCGGACAATTCACTTCACTGGTTTTATTAAAAACTATATTTTTTAATGTTTTATTTATTTCTGAGAGAGAGAGAGAGAGAGAGAGACAGTGTGAGCAGGGCGGGGTCAGAGGGAGAAGGAGACACAGAATCTGAAGCAGGCTCCAGGCTCCGAGCTAGCTGTCAGCACAGAGCCCAACGTGGGGCTCGAACCCACGAACTGTGAGATCATGACCTGAGCCGAAGTCAGACACTTAACCGACTGAGCCACTCAGGCGCTCTTTACTTCATTTTAAAAAAGACCCCAGTTGTCAGGATCCTCCCTGCTCCAGAAACTGCAGGCTCGCTCACCAGCACTGGAAGCCTCTGGTGGTGAGTGGCAGTAAAATCCGTGAAAGTATTCACGGAGGGTGCTGCTGTGGGCCACCCACCATGTTAAGGTGCCACGGACACTCAGGTAAAAAACAAAAAAAAAAACCAGTCTGCCTTCATCAGCCTGCAGCCAAACACTGGTCATGCTCCCAATGGCCTCAAAGAAAAAGACAACTGACTGGGGATTGTAAACATTTCCAAGCACCCTGGGAACTGACTCATCTAGCACTCCCAAAGCTGCTGAGTACACAAACTCTAAGAATAATGAATGTTTCGTCTGAAATTAAAAAAATCCTCTTAGGGATGTGTAAATTAGTGTAACCTTTTGGAAGGCAATTTATTCAAAAAGCAGAAATTTAACTACACTCCATCTAGAGATATATTGCAATGAATAACGAGGACAATATACAAAGATATGCGAGTATTCTTTGCAGTGTTCACTAATTCAACCAAAATTTACAGAAAGCCTGCTTTGTGCCAGAGCAAATGAGTTACTCAGTGAACAAAACAGGTAAGATCCTCTTTTCTTTTTTGTAATGTTTTATTTATATTAGAGAGAGACAGAGTACAAGCAGGGGAGGGACAGAGAGAAAGGACAGAGAGAAAGAGACTCTGAAGCAGGCTCAAGGCTCTGAGCTGTCAGCACAGAGCCTGCCATGGGGCTCGAATTCATGAACCGTGAGATCATGACCTGAGCTGAAGTTGGATACTTAACTGACTGAGCCACCCAGGTGCCCCAAGATCCTCTTTTCTTAAAGCATACACTCTGACCTTGCTTACATTAGTGACAAATTGGAAACAGTCCACACATTTATAAGTGACAAAGGGAGCAAATGACAGCACAGGCCTACAATGCTTAAACTCTTCAGAGATCTTTTCCTGTGATGCTGAGAATAAAATCCAAACTTCTAACTAGCTGAGAGTGGGTCCTGTCAGGTTCTCCAGCCCACATCTTGCTTTCCCCCTTGCCTGCTTGGCTTCATTTACTCTGAAGGCTTAAGGTTCTGGAACTCACCAAGTCTCTCCCCCTCAGGGCCTTTATACTTCCCACCTCCCACTACCTCTCCCTGAAACATGCCTTGTCCACCCCCCTAACCAGCCCCCTTGCTTTGCCACCCCCCCCCCAACCCCTTCCTCACGCCTCCGCTGGCAATCCCCTTCCCAACCCTTGGCGTCGGCTTCCATACCAGTTCTCCTCCCGGAGCCCTTCCTTGATCAGCTACTTGAGTAAGCAACTCCCTAACCAGCACTCACCCCAACATTGAAGTTACATCTTGGCTTATTTAATATTATCTTGGCTCCTCCATTAGTTCTAAGTTCCCTGATAATAAGAAACCTTTTACTTTGTTCACTTCTATTAATTAACACCAAATACCGTGCCTGGTACATAGTAAGCACTACATAAAGATCTCCTGGATGAATGAAAGCAACACCCTATGCAGGCGTTAAGTGTAAAAGGGTTACAATTAATGAGCCAATAGTGATTACGTTATTAGCACTGTTTTCTAAGTTTTATTTTTGAGTTCTTCACCACTTAGATCTTTTTTTTTTTTTAAGTTTATTTATTTTGAGATGGGGGTGGCACATGAAGTGGGGAGGGCCAGAGAGAGAGGGAGAGAGAGAATCCCAGGCAGGCTCCACACTGTCAGCACAGAACCTGACACAGGGCTTGTACTAACAAACTGTGGGATCACGAACTGAGCTAAAATCAACGGTCAGACACTTAACTGACTGAGCCACCCAGGCACCCCACACCGCTTGGATTCTTGTCTCTTTGGTATCTCACTCCAATTCTTCATGCCCTCTTCCTGCCATTTTTTTCCTAAGGAAACTGGATTGTTTGCTCTATAGATTTTCCCAGTTTGAATTTTGCTGATTGTAGCTACAGGGTATTAACACGTTCCTCTGTTCCTTGTATTTTCTCTAAATTGTAGTTTCATGTAGAAGCTTGATCAGATTCAGGTTCTTTTTTCTTTCTCTTTTTGAGATGGTGTTGTGTGTTTCTGCCAGCAGATACATGATGCTCACTTGTCTCTGTTTTCATGTCAGTAGCCACCGACAGTCAATGCCCAGATCCATTATTTCATTAGGAGGTATAAAAGAATGGCATTCTAATTTGTTTCTTCTTCACTTATTAGCTGAAATTCTGCTATAAAGAGATACCTCCCATTGTCAATGATTTCATGATCCTGAGGTTTAAGTTAAATAGGAAAGAAAGGATAAAAACTTCCTCTTTACCAGTATTCAATTCACACCAGTGGTTCCTTAGTGTTTTTGAAAGTGATAAGTAAACTTAAAAATAAAATCATCATAACCACATGGATTTAAACATATTTGGTGTTTTCAGTGCACTGCAGTTAACTTCTCTTTGATGCTTACACATTCCCGCCTCTGACCAGCAGAGCGCATTCAGGTGGGCTCCTGTATTAGATCCTTAGGGCTGCTCCAGCATTACCTGGTGGCTCAGAACAGACATTTATTCTCTCAGTTCCAGAGACCGGAGTCCAAAGTCAAGGTGCTGGCAGAGTAGGTTCCTTCTAGAGGTTCTCAGGGAGAAATGATTCCATGTCTCTCCTCTATCCTCTGGTTGCTGGCAATCCCTGGTGTTCCTTGGCTTACAGACATCTCTCTCCAATCTCTGTGTGGCTTCACGTGGCTTTCTTGCCTGTGACTTATTAGATCTTCCTCTCCTTTCTAAGGATGCCAGTCATTGGATTTAGGGTTCCCCCTAAATGCAAAATAATCTCTTTTTCAGATCCTTACTTAATTATAGCTTCAAAGACCCCATTTCCAAACAGGGTCACGTTCATGGGTACTGGTAGTTAGGACCTGTGCACATCTTTTTGTACAGTGAGCCCATTATGGCTCCGGAATCCTCTGGAAGGACTCTCACAGTCTTTGATATTTTTCTTGCTTTTTGTATGACATGATGCTTCAGGCTCACCTTGTACATTTCCTGTCCCACACCTGGGATTACTCATTTCTCCAGGGATCTCTGGTTTCTTTTAGGGAAAAAGAGTATTTAAGTATCACAATATAGGTGCTAACAATGTACTGACTTTTATGATCAACAAAAATAATTTTTACTAAATCACAAAAAAATTGGCTACACTTATGAGTCATCAAAATGGTCTTTGGTTTACGAGTACTTCTAGAACTTTTAAGAATCTGCTCTAGAGGGGTGTCTGGGTGGCTCAGCTGGTTAAGCATCTGACTCTTGATTCCTGCTCCGATCATGATCTCCGGTTTGAGGGATCGAGCCTGCGTTGGGCTCTGCAGTGATAGCGCGGAGCCTGCTTGCAATTTGTTAACTCTGCTCTCTCTCTGCCCCTCCTCTGCTTGTGTATGTGCACGCACACCTTCTCTCTCTCTCAAAATAAAGAAATAAATGTTAAAAAAACAAGAATCTGGTCTAGAAAAATAATGCGAAACATATTGGATGTTCTTTGTAGAATTACTTATAGAAGCAAACCCTGAACCAGCATAGATAATTCTGCAGGATCCTCTTAAATCATTTATGGTGTTGTCCTTTAATGGAATATTTTATAACTGTAACATTGTTGGTAATAAAGATATCATAGCAACAGAAGAAATGCTAACGCATAACAACAAAGGGATATGAATGAAGCAAGTTAAGATTATAGTGTACAAAACTGTGGTGGTGAAGCATCCGACTCTTGATTTTGGCTCAGGTCATGATCTCAGGGTCTGTGTCCCTCTGTGCTGACAGTTTGTGGAGCCTGCTTGAGATTCTCTCTCTCTCTCTCTCTCTCTCTCTGTCTCTCTCTCTCTCTCTCTCCCATCCTCTCTCCCACTCATGTGCGTGCGTGCGCACACATACACACACACACACATTCTCTCAAAATAAATAAACTTTATACATAAATAAATAAATACCTTTTCTGCCTTGCAGAAAGAAATGACTATAGCACACAAAACTATGTTCATGAAAAAGGATCAAAGGAAAATACTCCAAATTGCTAATATGATTATTTGACAGTGATGGGATTAAGAGTTATTTTTTAAAAATGTTCATTTATTTATTTTGAGAGCGAGAAAGAGAGTTTGTGAGCAGAAGAGGAGCAGGGAGAGTGGGAGAGAGAGAATCCCAAGCAGACTCCATGCTGTCAGCACAGAGCACAGTGTGGGGCTCGATCCCAGGAACCATGAAATCATGACCTTGAGCCAAAATCAAGTCTGATGCTTTAACTGAATGAGCCACCCAGGTGACCCAAGAATCATTAGTTTTATATTTTTCCCCTTTGGTACCACGGTTATTTTACTTTTAAAATACTCTATTTTGGGGCACCTGGGTGGCTCAGTCTGTTAAATGTCTGACTCTTGATTTCTGATCAGGTCACGGTGTCTTGCTCTGGCTCACAGGCGCTCTAAGCTGGGCCGTCTGAACCATAATTGATGACTACCTGCCTATGATCCAGACATGTGTAAATAATAAGCCCAAAAAGGGGGGAAGAGCTGAACCTTCTGCAATTATTTTCCTTCTCTTGGCCTTAGGTGAATTCCAGACCAAATGTGAAAAGGAACTCCTAATCCCATGTCTAAGGCTAAATGGAAAATTCTTCTGGGTCTTCCTTCTGCTAAGGGGGAGCTCCAGGAGAGGCATCACCCTTTCCTGCTTCACAGTTCCTGAACGTCAGCGTCCAAACAATGGTTGTTTGTTTAGGCAAGCCCAGAATGCTCTGAAAATTTCGGGAGACACATGAAAGCCCAAAGGATTCTGCTCAGCCCAGTAACACTTCTGAGCATGGGATCGCTGGCTGTGACTCATCACCACCAAAGGCCGGGTCCCAGCACCATTAAGTGTGTTACTGTTTTTCTCACATGGGAGACAGTGCTACTGACCTACTTTCAAGCAGCCATGCCCTCTGAGGAGCTGAGCCCACGCTGGGGAGGAGACCGGTCATACTTTCTTACCCAGTCTCCTTTTAACAAGGCTCTTCTGTAAGATGGCTGCCCGGGCCATCTTCTGGCTGGACGGCAAATTTTCCTCTGTGACCAGCCTGTTCATGGCTGCCCAGGGTTCTACATGGCCAGTCAGGGCCCACGGTTCCATGCCCTGAGTTAAGCAGCACAGATGGTTCAGGAAGAGGAAGTGGCAGGCAGCTCACCTGCTGGGTGGTGGCCAGACAGTACTCTGCTGTGCTCAGGATGCTGCAGATGAGGCAGAGCTCCTCCAGAGTGAACTTGGCTACTTCGGAGCCTTCCTTTTCCTTGAGGAGGCTGCTGATGGTCAGCCCTCCGCTGCTGCTTGTGGTCCTGAGGAAAAGGGACAGGAACCAGTCAGGCTGGGGCTTCTCATTTGCTTCCTGAGCTGGTAACGGCACATCTTAAGACAAAGAAAAGGGGGAAGGAAAGGCTGGATGTGGCCCAAACAAACCCACGCACAATGAGTCCTTTTCCTATTGACCTTACCTTGACTATCATCTGTTTAAGTTCTCTGACCATCAGAAGTAGGAAGAGACAATTCTAACAGCAGGCCAGTAATCAGTCATATGAACTATAATGACTCTGATACTCACAGAGAAGGCTGCCAGCAGCCTCTCTGCTTAGCTTAGAATCTCCCGATCTGCACCATCCCAGACTTCAGCCTCTTCTACAAAGCTGTCATCCTCAAGACAGTATGGTATTGGCACAAAAACAGACCCATAGACCAATGGAACAGAATTGAGAACTCAGAAGTGGACCCAAAAGTATACAGCCAACTGATCTTTGACAAAGCAGGAAAGAATATC